TAAATATAAATTAATTATCAAATTGATATTTGATTATAAGTTATATTTATTGCCAACATGTTAGAAGCCTAATGGGTCACACACATTGAGTGACATGATTGGGATTAAATAAGGATAATTAATTAAGTTGGACTTAATTGAAGGAGACCAAAATAAAGTGAAAAATTAATTAAGTTCTCAAAGACTTAATTAAATTAAATTAACAACATTGTATTTGGTTTACAATTAGTTTGGCTATATAAATTGTTATATTAGCAAACTAAAAACTTGAAGCCTCTAACCACCTTTTCAGCCATTTCCTAAAATAAAAATAAAAAATAGTTTTTATTTGACATAATAAGATTCGTTAAGAATTTTGGTCATTTTGTTTTAAACAAAATTGCTAGCACATAAAATCCTACCTTGGAAAAGGTTTTATTCAGTCACTATGCGCATTACGGTTAACAGCCAAACACTTATGTGGTTGAAGATTTGACAAATCCTAAAGGTAAAGAAGTAAAGATTTTTGGATTTAATTTGCTCTTGATTGCAATATCTAGAGAATGGTATGTAACTCTTAAACCTATGAGTGTTTATAATTTGAAAGTTACATGAAAAACACAAACATTGATCCTGTAGGATTCGACTGTTTCTCTTATTAAATATTATTTTATTTGCTTGCTACGTTATATTTTAATTTATGGATTATTTTTATGTTTGAGCATGAGGTCAAATCCTAACAATTCCATGCCTAAAAAATCGTGCCAAAAAGCTCTCAAAACCTCAGCAAATTTGGAAAATAAATGGCCCTGATTTTGCAAGTCCTTTTCAAATAAGAATATAATTCCAGCAAATTATTTGTGTGAAAGCATCATCAGATCACTAGCCAAGCGAGGTAATTAAATGCTGTAAATTTCAGAGGTTGAGATCATCCTCTTGACCTTCTACCCTCCAAAAATCAACCACAAAATCCTTCTTTAAGTCCCTCAAAAAAATTTCCAAAATAGATCATGTTATGCTACCTGATTTTTCCAATTTAGATTCTCTTAAAACAAATCTCTAAAATCTTTAAGGACTTGTTAAATTTAGATTTTAAGTCCATAAATCACAACTTTAAAGGCCAATTCTTCTAATTGCTTAATCACCATAGTTTGATTTGGAAACCTAAATACAACTTGACGAAACGAATATAGTGTTAGTCATGAACAAAAAAACATATGTTTCGAATTTACTTAGTGGATAAGGTGATTTGATTTGCATATAGGATAAATATATACCTATGTGTTATATGTAGCCAAGATTAGAGCATAAATTTAATGAGTCTTTTTTCAATTTAATTTGCATAGACTTATAGTAAATTAATTGGGAGAAATATTTTTATAAGAAACTTGACAGAGACTTATAAATAACTTTGGACTCTAGGCTAACAACTCACTCCATTAGAGTAAGTTTAGAGAGAAAGAAACAAGATTAAGATGAAATGTTGAGGGATATTGTAACCTTAGGCTTTTTCTTAATTGAAGTCTTCTGGTAAAGTTTTGTCAATTAGCTTTCAGATTTAATTTTGCAATTAATTAGTTTTAGTTTTGTTTTTAATTAATTACTTTAATTCTACTGTTTGAATAAAATTATATTATTTTAATTTTAGTACTTAGCAAAAGTTGGAACAATTCTCTATGGGATTCGACACTCTATTTACTATTATATTACTTGTTATGATTCGTACACTTGAATGGTAAAATCCTTAGTGTATGCATGTGTAAGATTTCAATCATGTCTGGAAGGATCTTTAGATACCTCTTGAATACCCAAAGCTTAGGCTTATTGTATCCAAAAAGGTTATCTTTTTATCTTCTTGGTTATTCCAGTGTTGATTTTGCTGGCAACAAAGCTAATTGGAAGATTACTAGTGGTACTTATCAATTCCTTTAAAGCAAGCTTGTCTCTTGGTCTTATAAGAAACAAAATTTAGTTGCTTTTTTCTACTGAAGTGGAGAATATTTCAGTAGGTAATTGTGCACAAATTTTATGGATTAGGTAATAATTGAATGCCTTTGGCATATCAATGCATAATATTCCTATCTTTTGTGACAATACAAGTGCTATTAACATCTCCAAGAATCTTGTTCAGCACTTTAGAATGAAGCGTATTGAGATTAAACATCATTTTATTAAAGATCATGTACTTAAGGGAGATTTTAAAATTGAATTTGTTGATACTTGGCTTCAATTGCCTAATATTTTCACAAAACCTTTGAGTGAAGATCAATTTTGTAATATTAGAAGAGAATTAGGATGCTTGATGTGCATGAGCTTGGATTGAATTGATTTGAATATGTTTTTGATGAACTTTTATGTATATTGTGTTTTATTTTCCAGTTTTGATCGATCAAAAATTGCTTCATGTACTTCGAATAGAATTTTAATAGATCAAAATCATATTTTAGTCAATTATACTAGTTTTGGAATTGAAGTTACTCAAATTAATCGATTGAAATGCCTTTTTAATCGACTAGCTTGCTTCTGTGCAAGCAAGGGTCTTAAAGTCATAGAAATTTTAATCAATTAAAGTTTACTTTAATCAATTAAAATAATTTTGTGAAAAATTAGTTTAAAGTCAAAAGAGTTTTAATCGATTAAAGTACACTTTAATCAATTAAAACGGTTTTGTGTTTTTCAACAAGTTTTTAAATTCACTTTAATCGCTTAAAGCCAGCTTTAATCAATTAAAGCACTAGGCTTTAAAATTTGACAT